ATTGGTGTTTTCATTTTCATTTCAATATTCAGTATTGAAATTACTGGATTATATAGTATTTCTGTTTTGAATTTTTTCCATTAACTCCATACTGTTTTCCATAGTGGATGCACCAATTTACAATCTGACCAACAGTACCTGAGGGTTCCCTTTTTTCTATATCTTCACCAACACTTGTTATTCCTTGTCTTTTTGATACTAGCCATTCTGACTGGTGTGAAATGATATATTGTGGTTTTGTTGGCATTATGGTTTTGATTTCCCCGATGATTAGTGATGTTCAGCATCTTTTCATGTGTCTGTTGGCCATCTGTATGTCTTCTTTAGAAAAATGTCAATTCAGGTCCTCTGTCCATTTTTAAATCAGATCATTAGGATTTTTAGTGTTGAGTTGTATAAGTTCTTCATATATTTGGGATATTAACCCCTTATTGGATATATCATTTACAAATATATGAATATGTCTCCTCAGGCAAGGAAAACAAAAACAAAAATAAACTATTGGGATTATGCCGAAATAAAAGGCTTTTTTGCACGACAAAGGAAACAATCAACAAAAAAAAAGGCAAACTTTTGTTCTGTTTTGTTTTTTACACCTTTGCAAGTTTCTCTAGTGTGTACTGTAACAGAAGACAGGGAGATTCTTGTATGTGTGGCTGCATTCAATCTTCTGTGATATATTTTTAAACCTGAGAAAAAGACTCTTTTAGACAAGGAGATTATTGAACTTTTCCTCCATTAGCACAGTCCTGTAACTGGGATTGTGAAAATGTGAGAATTTTGCAGGAGAAATCCATATTCACACAGATATGTGGTTGGTAAAGGGAAGGCATCATAAGATCCCCTGGATGGGTTTTGAGGACTTCTGGGGTTCTTGAAACATACTTTGTGTACTATAGAATATTGTTAATCATAGAATGTACTCCAAAAAGCATAAAAATGGCCATGCTTAATTGTCAACATGTCTAAGACTTTCAGAATTTTTTTTTTTATTTTGCCTTGAGTTATCCTCTACTATTAACTTTAGCCTTTTATTTAGTTATCACCTCTTACTGTGGAAACAAGAAGAAAATGAAAGTAGTGCTTTCCATTCTTCCAACTTCAATTTTTCACTTGGTTGTTCTTTGGTAAGGGTTATAATGCTTATAGACATCCAGCTATGAATTAACTTTAGGAAATTATCTGAAAATTATTTACTTCAACTTTATTGTTTTACTTTCTTATTTGTTCATTATATTTTTTTTTTTCTGGTTATAAAAATAATCCACAGTTGGAGTTGAAAATCGTGTAATGACCACTGAAGGCAATTTGGTTTAGTCCTTTTCAGTCAAAATTGTATATGCATTTACTCTTTGACATATCAGTTTTACTTCTAGATAATTAACTGGAGCATTGATTGCACTAGATAAAGATTGTAATAGATAAATATTTGGATATTCTCAGGTGACATAACACATGGCCAGTAGTTTATCCACATGGTAGAAGACTGTGTAATTTGAACAGGAGTGAGAAAGTTCTCTACATAGTAACATGAATATATCTCTTACATGTATTATTAGTTTGAGAAAAGAAGCACAGTACAGAAAAGGGTATATTTTGTAAAAAGAAGGAAACATAAAAAAAATGTGTGTTAATATTTGCATGAAATTGCAGGTAATTAATTAAGTGGTTAAGGAGGAAAGGGGTAAGGTACTGTTGGGAGGGGAAGGTCAAGAATTTTAATCAAAATGTATACCACTTTCTGTCTGTATAATTTTGACTTCTCTAAATACATAGTAAGTGGAATCATAGACTATTTGTCTCTCTGTGACTGGTTAATTTTACTTAGTATAGCATCCTCAAGGTTCATCCATGTGTAGTATATGTCAGAATTAATTGTCTTTTTAAAGCTAAATAATATTCCATTTTGTTCCTGTACAACAGTTTGCTTATCCTTTAATGCATTGATGGACATTTAGGTTGCTTTCACTCGTAAAATACTGTGAATAATGCTGCTATGAATATGAACATGGCTGTACGAATTCCTCTTTGAGACCTTGCTTGCAATTCACCTTCCATGTCTTCCCCTGGAAGCTGCAAACCTTCAGTAGACTCCAGAGATCCAAGATAGTTAGATTAGACAGATTCTGCAATTGCTGCTCAAGTGGGGAGACAGATGCCTGGTGCTTACTATTTTACCATCTTTTTCAAATCCTCCCTAATGCTAATTTCTAAGTGTCACACAGCCTTAAGAGTAAAAACAAGGAAAAGTAAATAAGCAAGGGCCGTGAGTCTTAATTTTAGTAGTCTTCTGCCAGATAAAGGATATACATGTGAATTTATTTGATGATATATATTTTGGCCAGATCTGATTAATCAATGAGTTATGAAAGAGTAGCTTTCCTGACAGTGGTGGTGATTGGGGGTGGGAAGATTGTTACCCTTATCCTGAATAAATTTGGGAGGATTATTGGTGGTGGTCAATTTGAACCTCATGAGTATTCCATAGTTAATACTATGTTCTTCATCTTCTGAGAAATATCTAAGGGATAGTGTGTGGAGGAAGACTGCAAGGCACAAAAGACATGTGGGACTGCTGGGTGCTATTGTTGATGAAAGGGAATTAAGCTGTCAAATTAGTGGGAACTTTGGGGACTGAGCAGCCAATGAGGGAAATTATAACATGAAGTTGGACCAAAATCTCCATTTAAGTCAGAGTTCTGGAGCTACCTGCCTCCACATTCTCATGTTTCTTAAAGCCAAAGAATGAGAACTGAAACTTACCAGAAAATATTGGCTACTTAATATATACAGAATATAAGCCTTTGTAAAGTTATTAAAACTAGATATTTCAGATACAGTCAAATTAAAAAAGAGTATTTTTAAGAAGTTAAAGTAGAGTAGAAAAATATACTAGATATGGGTCTTATGAGATAACAAGAAATTTGGATGAAATATAATTGTAATCCCTTTTAAAATTATTTAATCCAGGGGCGCCTGGGTGGCTCAGTTGGTTAAAAGACTGCCTTCAGCTCAGGTCATGATCCTGCGTCGGGCTCCCTGCTCTTCCCGGAGCCTACTTCTCCCTCTCCCTCTTCCTGCCTCTCCCCCTGCTTGTGCTCTCTCTCTGTCAAATAAATAAGTAAAATCTTTAAAAAAATGTATTTAATCCAACTCAATAACGAATTCAGAACCAATGAGGCAATACACATAAAAATGCTCTATAGTCTAAACCGCGGCTAACAAATTCCTTGAATATCTTGGCATCAAAACTAGTGAACACTTCTGCAGGTTTTGAATGCTATTATTCTTCAGAATAATTCTGAAATTACTCTTAAAATTATCATATAAATATGGAATAGTAATATTGTTCGACAAATCCACACTGTAAGAACGCACATTTCATGAGCACAGTCATTGTATCATAAAATGTAAACATTAAGATTTGTCAATTCTTACAGATCATCCAGCATATGCAGTTTACACTATAGAAGAGAGAATTATGATAAAGAATAAATAATTTGTTTCAGTTAGTAAAAATAATTGGACAAGAACTGGAGCATGTGATTCTCCATTTTGAAGTGTTTCTATTTACACAAATACTTTAGATAGAATTTCTATTAAAGAGTTCATTTGCATTCTAATTATCTAATGGGTTAAAAATATTTATTGTTGTAATAAAAAATAGTCATTGTGCTATTGCTACTACGTTTATTATAACAAAATGAAAAGCATTACATTTTGATTAAAGTGTTCTTTTCTATAATTACAAAAGAACTAAAACAAGATACAGAAAGTCAAATTTCAGTGTACTTAAAATGCAGAGTTAATGTCTGAAAACAGTCCATCCTATTGTAATACTTGTAATTATTATGTTACTTTAGAGACAGCATGTCAGATCATGTCCCTTGTATCTAAATTCATAAAGGCAGAAACTTGATTTATCGTGCTTAATTGCTAAGATACATATCAGTTCCTACCCCCACCACTAATGGCAATAATACAGCATCAGTGCTGACCTGAATGCTATTGTAAAGATATTTAATTATTATCAAACTTCTAAATGCCTGTCTGGTCATGTTGTTTAGGATATATAAAAAACAATTCTATTAATATAATTAATTTTAGGAATATTATTTGTCAGATTCAATTGAAAATCATAAAAGTGTGCATTAAATAAAAATTTGTGCTGTACTTTGAAATTTAGCATCTATTATGGATGCTATTGATTTGTTTATTGCAAACAGTACATTTTAGTAACAGTTTCAACATGTCCAAAATGTGCAGCATATACAGTTTTTGCAATGTAATTAGTTAGAAATTGGGGAAGTTTAATTTTAAAATTGAATTGTTCATGAAAATCTATTTCATATTCTCTATGGCTTGAGCAGTTTCTCTTCATAAAATATTCTATAGTTGTGTGAAGAAATTAAGTGCAGTTAATCAGAAAGAACATTATAGTTTGACACCTAATTTGAAAGCCCTGTCTTGAAGCAGTGAATGATTGCTTATAGAATTACATATGCCGATGAGGACCCAAATAGGAAATCCATTTATGCTCCAAGTAGATCTCAGTGTTGGTGTCAGTCAGGGTGGTATTGTCTGTCTTTTTGTGAGAAATATTTCATAAAAGTATATATATAAAAGTATATATAAAAGCATATGATCCAAGAGTTTTTCTTGGATTCTTATATATAAAATAAAGTATATATAAAAGTATATATATATAAATTTGTTAAATGTCTCATTTCTCATTTAGTTTGATAGGTTAAAAATAATAAAATAACATTAGCGTGAATTTTTTAATTATTGTACATTGGAAGGCAGATCAGTGGTCTTAAAGTCATCTTACTGTGCAACCAAGTCAGTCCTGTTGATATAAGTACGGAGGTAAGAGGTCAAATTCTAAAGCTTAGCATTTTAACAAAAACAACAACAAAAAAGTAGTTGTCAGAAAGTCCCAATGGCATTGATGAAATGTTTTTCATCTCTATTTAATCCATATTCATCTCTTTTTTCAGTGCCGCCAGTGATCACAATGCCTCAGAAATCCTTTAATGCCACAGCAGAGAGAGGAGAAGAGATGACGTTATCCTGCAGGGCCTCTGGCTCTCCAGAGCCCTCCATCTCCTGGTACAGGTAGGTTACGCATACACGTCCTTCTGGCTTGTGTCCAGAATCAATCTCATGGAAAAAGATTTCTGATCTTATTTTATCAAGACTAAAAACACTACTTTGAATTTTATTAAAAGGTTACGGTGGTTTTGTTTTCAGTTAAATTGGTTAGATTAAATTGTTAAAGAGATTAACAGAGTGATTTAACCCAAGTCAAAGGCTACCCTCATGGTGCTGGCTATTCTTTGTATGAGGCGTGTTTCTGGCCCAGAAGCCCAATGACTGATTCAACCACGTTAATGTTACTGCTAGAAATTATCTAGAAATACGAATGCTAGTATTAATAGTACCACCATCGTATGTATATAAAAACCATTTTATTGGAATGTAATTGTATATCTTAATTATGTACCATTTTATTCAGGAAAAAAGCTAATTATGTACAGTTAAATTTCCATAAATGTAATGTCATTTTTAAAAAGCTTACTTCATCAAATGAATAAACTCTCTATTCTCAATCTGTTCTTTGACATTTTACTTTTATATATTTCTAACGAACTTTTCAATGTTATTTGATTTCTATTAACCATCAAACAGATATCAACATATTTCATTCTTTTATGTTATGACTCTGTTAAAAAGGAGACAATGAAACTTTACAAATGGACAATCTTAAAAATACATCTTAGTTATTAATTCAGGTTACCACTCAAGCATAGCTACGGATATTTGTAGAATCTCTTCCACACTTCATAAACCAAACAGTGTAAGAAAAATCACAAGAAAACAATTAGTAGAAATAAATTCACATTGGCAAAAAGTAGCCATAGTGAGGATTAGGTTTCTTCAAAAAAACAATTTTAAGAAGAATAATTGTCCAGTTCCCCTTTTTTCTATTTCTTCCTGAGCACTTACTGATATTCTGTGCATTTCAAACCTTTATCCCTTTAATACAGCAGGTAGCAATAAACAAGATATTTCTTCAAATAAGGTAAATAGATGTTCTTTGCAAACATGAATTCCTTTGTGACATACTGTTGGTATTTTCTAAAGGATTACACATCAAACATTAACATCTTCACCCCAGATAATGATCCTGTTATCTCAGAGACTTCTGGTTTCTGGTGTGTATCGTTAAGAGTCAATATTACATCTAATTGCAGCACAGAAAAGCTCTTGGATCATTCATTACAATGAACAAATATTGTTCTAGAATCTCATTCTCATCATTTTATCTTTCCAGAGAGACTTCCTTCTGTTTAGATTTCTGTCTTAAAGTTCAACATTTGTTCAAAATTCTCATATTTAAGTGGAAACATAATTATCATACAGGCTAGAATAAATCAAATTCAGAGGTTAACATAGTAAGTCATGTAAACTATAATTTTTAATCATTATATCTTCATATGACATTTGTTTCATCCCTTTAATGGTGTAAATAATAATTGTTCTATTCTCTGGATACTTAATATATAATCGGAGAATGGGAGTATATGATAGTGACATTGACAAAGCTAAAATTAGTATTAGAGGAAGTTTTTTTTTTTTAAAGATTTTATTTATTTATTTGACAGAGAGAGACACAGCGAGAGAGGGAACACAAGCAGGGGGAGTGGGAGAGGGAGAAGCAGGCCTCCCGCGGAGCAGGGAGCCCGATGCGGGGCTCCATCCCAGGACCCCGGGATCATGACCTGAGCCGAAGGCAGACGCTTAACGACTGAGCCACCCAGGCGCCCCTAGAGGGAAGTTTTTATTTTGACATATTTATATGTAGATATAAGCATGTTATCCTTGCTAAAAGAAAAAAAATCCTGTAATCATTAGGTAGTATAGTCTACGGCCATCCCACCCTCAGCGTGCCCAGTCTTTAGGGCAGCAGTCCAACGAGAAAGACTACCTCTTGCACAGAGATATTTCCAAGGGATATGAGTGAAGCCGATAAAGAAAACGGTTGAGGACCAAACAGTGGGGAAAAATAAGTTTTCACAAAGAGAATCAGGAGCACTTGGTGACATGGAAGCCAAAGTGGGAATAAAAGCCGCTACTCGAGAATATCTCTACCTTCATTCCATTCAAATACTTCTTCTACATCTTTTGAGAATATCATATGGATTTATATCATTAGCCCACTAATCAGTGAATTCCATTGATTTTCAAATGTTAAAACAGTTTCACATTCCTTGAATTGGACCCACTTGATTATGCTATATTGTCTTTTTTATGTATTGCTAGATCATTATGCTAATTTGTGAAAATTTTTGCATTTAGAGCTATGAGAGATACTACTGTCTTTTTGTGTTTTTATTCTTGAATTGTTTGGGGTTAGGGCAATACTGACCTCATAGAATGAGTTAGGGAAGTTTCCCCTTTTGTTTTCTGGTAGAGTGTATATATAATGCCTATTATTTTTTACTTAACTATTTGGAAAAATTTCCAGTGAAACAGTCTGTGCTAGGACTTTTCTTATGTAAAGGTTTAACTACAAATTCAAGTTCTTTCATAGATCTAGGTCTATCCTAGTAATACCTTTGTCTTTAGTGATCTCTGGTGATATATATCTTTCCAGCAAGTTGTTCATTTCATTTTAGTTTTTTTACTAGCATAAAGTCACTTACAGTATTCTCTTATTATACTTATAATTTGTGCATTATCTATATTGATCTTCCCTCTGTCATCCTGATAAGCTGGTAACTGGTTATTTGTTCTCTCTCTTTTTCATCCTGATCAGTCTAGATATAGGTTTATTAAAAGAATGATCTTTTCAATGATCAGCTTTTGATTTCAGTTATTTTCTGTTTTGTTTTTCTATTTTCTAGTTCATTGATCTCTGCTCTTATTTTTATTATTGTCGTCCTTTTGTTTACTTTGTGCTTACTATTCTCTTCTTTTTTAGTGGCTTAAAGTGGATACTTATGTCATTTCAATCATTTATACTTTCCTAATATAAGCATACATTTTTCCCTTTTATTTTTTAAGATTTTATTTATTTATTTGAGAGAGAGAGAGAGCACATGAGAGGGGAGGAGGGTCAGAGGGAGAAGCAGACTCCCTGCTGAGCAGGGAGCCCAATGTGGGACTCGATCCTGGGACTCCAGGATCATGACCTGAGCCGAAGGCAATTGCTTAACCAACTGAGCCACCCAGGCGCCCCTACATTTTTCCCTTTAAATACTACTTTAATTGCACCTTACTAATTTTAATATGCCATTATTGTCTAGTTCAATTATATTTTTTAAAGATTTTATTTATTAGAGAGTGTGAGTGAGTTGGGGGAGGGGAAAAGTGAGAGGGAGAAGCAGGCTCCCCGCTGAGTGCAGAGGACCCTGAGATCATGACCTAAGCTGAAGGCAGACACTTAACTTCACTGAGCCACCCAGGTGCCCCTTTATCAAATATTTTTAATTTTTTTTCTTGCAATGTTATTTTGTTTGTTTCAAGTTTTATTTAAATTCCAGTTAGTTAACATATGGTGTCATATTAGTTTCAGGTGTAGAATTTTAGAGATTCATCACTCACATATAATACCCAGTGCTCATGGCAAGCACCCTCCTTAATCCCCATCACCCATTTAACCCATGCCCCCCTCACTGCCCCTCCAGCAACCCCCAGTTTATTCTCTATTAACAGTTAAGAGTCTGTTTTATGGTTTGCCTCTCTCTCTTTTTTCCCCCTATGTTCATCTGTTTTTGTCTTAAATTCCACATATGAGTGAAATCATATGGTATTTGTCTTTCTCTGACTGACTTATTTCACTTAGCACAATACACTCTCTGTCCACATCATTGAAAAAGGCAAGATTTAATTGTTTTTGATGGCTGAGTAATATTCCATTACACACACACACACACACACACACCAATTTCTTTATCCATTCATCAGTCGATGGACATTTGGGCTCTTTCCATAATTTGGTTATTGTTGATAGTGCTGCTATAAACATCAGGGTACATGTGTCCCTTCAAATCGGTTCTTGTAATGTTATTTTTGACATTGGTTATTTAGAAAGTTGCTGATTTGTTTCCAAATATTTGGGTATATTTCATATGTATTTCTGCTACTAGTTTCTAACCAAATTCCTTAATTGTCGAAAACATACCTTGTATGATATCAATTTATTTAAATTTATTGGGTCTCATTTTATGATCTATATTTTATAGAACATTTATATATAAACATATATATATATATATATTCATTGTATGAAGTAGTCTCTAAATATCAAATAGGTCAGCAAGTTGATTCGTATTAACATCTTCTATACCCTTACTGATTTGACAACTATTGTCTATTTCTTTGCTCAGTTCTCTCTGTTTTGTTCTATGTCTTTTGAAGCTCTGTTACACATACAAACATTTATCAGCATCAGATCAGTATTATAAAAATTATTAAAGAACTTTGTTTAGGAATAAAATGATACCTGATAGAACTTTGAGTCCTTTTATCTCTGTTTTCAATTTTTCATGTCTTTAAGCTCACAAATTATATTGATATATTTTCAAGTTCATTGATTTTTTCTTTTTTTTTTT